ACTTCGGATCGTCGTCCCACGTCAACCCTACATCTTCCATATTCCGGTTGTGCTTCTTCAGTTGTTGCGCAACTTGAAACATTGTAAAAGATCGAATATATTCTACGTTATTCCTCAGACCAGGCCTTGACAGTGACAATAAATAATTTGAATCGTCCCCGAGATCTTCAATATATTCGTCCAGGAGACGCTGAGGATTTGCTGGCGGAGAATGTACCAAGATGATACAGAACATTGCTCTCAATGCTCGGCCTACCATCCAACAAGACGCCTCATGTATCGCTGCCGAATAGTGATCGTCCGTGGCTAGCAGTTTCGCAGCTTCGCAAGCGTCTCGGAATGTGTGATAATACCTGCCCTCTATTGTTCTCAAATCTTCAAATGATTTTGGGCCTCGTTTATTTGCTAGGAGTATTCTCAGGTAGTACCGTTTGCCTTTGGTAATCGCCGCAAAAAAAAGTCTTCCTACGGCGTCTGAAGTTCGAACTCGAGGCTCCCATCTGTTGTCGTCAGTCCACCAGAAATATTTCGGTATATCTTGATAGAGGCAGTTCTTTGCCAAAACGCCTAATCCTGATATGTCTGTTTGACACAACTGAAAAAACTCGGTTAAGGTTGTCCTTTCTGCTTTCCCCGATTCGAATGATTTCTTCACATTGTCAAGCGTTCGGTAATATACCGTCTGACTCTTTTCTAAATGTAAGCTTAGTCGTTGTATAGATGGTGATCTCCCATTCATTGGAAACTGAAATAAACGATATGCCGCTGCCATGAATCAAACAAAAATTAGTCATTTAACAAAATCAGGGAGTTGTAACGGCTGACCTTCAGATGGTCCAATATAACGTCCTTCGATGAATCGCTGAATCTCATCTCCATCGACAATTTTCATTGAGGAACGATCGACCCCTTTACAAATATATTTAAATAAATATTTCATTGCTCGGATTGTGAAAGGAATTTCTACGTTGATGTGGCAGTTGTACCTTAATGACAGGAATTTGTTGAAGGGTACGACATGACCATTGTTAAATTCCATACCCATCTTTTTGACACTTCGTCCGTCATTCCGCCGCCGGTAATCAGGATAAGAATCTTCTGTAATTTCAGTCTCAGGTCAAAATGGTTTAGGAAAACCATATTTACACATGCCGTTCTTCCAACAGTTGGACTTGATGCCACAGGGCCCGTGGAGCATATTCCTTGTCACAATATGATACAAGTCTGGTTCTTCCTTTTCACATGGGATTTCCGCTGAAATTAATGTGTCTACGGCTTCGACAGTCCTCGGAATATCAGCTGGGTGTAAGATAACCATTATGTGAGCATGCGGTAACCCTCGTTTCTGAAACTCGACGGTATATACAATGGCTTTGACCCTGCCCAACACACTATTTTTTTCGATGTCTTCTAGTAACGCCTCCAGTTTCGAATGAAATGCTTGTGCGATTAAATCAGGTTGGTCGCTCGGATCTTGGTGTTCAGCTAACGCCTCAGTTATCTCCCGCCATTTTGGATTCGCCGTCATCGTCACAAATAATGCAGGTCGGCCAAACTCTCGAGTCAATGCCATTGCATCTTGATACAACTGATTCATGTTCCGAGGTGACCCCGCGAATGTTGACGGAAGGATAATCCTCCTCCCTTCTATGTCAGCCTCATTATGGATTGATTCTTCCACAGATTTATATAAATCTGCTTTCAGTTGTTTTTGATTATGGCGTACAAAGTCTAAGCGTGACCTCTCGACGCAGACATACATGTCGTCGAGGATTTCTTGAAATAGTGATTTACCATTGATAATTGCTGAGAATTGTCCAGGTTTATCAAAGCACATTGATGAATACCATTCGTCCTGAGTTATTTGACGCCCTATGTAGAGCCAATTTAAGCATGAGCTGAAGCCAGATATATAAACATGTGAGCTTACCTGACTTCCTCAACGATCTATATTTGGGAATCCAACCTTGTTCTCCCCTCGGGAAAAACAACGGGTAGCGGAGGGCTAAGTAACCTGGGAAAAGATCTGTAACTCTTTTGATGCCACCATTTAGCTTGTGTAAGACGATATCCCTTGGGCTAATTTTTTCTTCATCAAACGTATCTAGGACAAAGCCTATTTCGTCAACTCTTGGCTGATTATACGTATTTGGATTCTTCGACGGATCATTTAAAGCTCTCAGCACAAAAGTTGCAGCTGGATTGCAATCTAATTCTTGATTAACCGTCCGATAGAATTGCGCATATGAGTTGTTCTCGCTGATGAAATGCTGGAGTTGAAGCAAAATTTTTGAATCGACATTGACTCCACATTTATGTTTCCGCATTGCCGCTTCCTTTGCATCGTTACCCCCAATAACATATATCTGAGCGAACTTGGCGTCTAGCTTTGATGCTGGTACTTCTTCAGGTAGATTGTGATATAATGCCCCCCCGATCTTGAAAGTGTAAACGCCTTTGTGTCCCTGTACCTCATCGTCAATTGTTGCTCCTAACGAGGCAAAGGAAAGGGCATTGTTGTAGCTCCTAATTTGTCTCTGAAATTTTGTAGACACTGAGAATAGATATCAGCATATCTAAAGTGCGGATTGTTGGCAAGAACTACATACCGGAATCGGTCGAAATCAACAAATTCTTTAAAAATTGAGGAAAGTTTGCACCGCTATAAGTTACGGGAATTGAGACCTGGCCTTTCTGACAACACATTGGATACGAAGCTC